AATTGCTTGAAATTTTTCCCTTTGTTCACTTTGCCCAACGCCATCTGCCCCATTTCATTCTACAGTTGGGGAAATCGAGACTGAGATTGGTGAATGGATGTACTTAAGAATAGAAACAGTGAATTAGCAGGAGGGTCAGGCTGAGTACCTAGGTCTGGTGACTCCTCATCCAGTGCTCCTTCTATTATGTCAGGCTCCCACCCTTGGTTTGGCTGTTAAGATAAATAATGTTTTACCTATTTCTGACACTTGTCCAAAACAAAGGTATTGGGATATGCCCTTTGATGTAGGAATTTAACCCATGTAGGCATACTCTATAAAGAAACGTGGTCAATCCAAGCATAGTTATGCATGAATATCTGTCCATGCAACCAAAAGCAAAGAAAACAAAACAAAGCACAGCAAAGCAAGCTGAGTTTATGACACAGTTCCAGGTTGGCAGATGTTGGCACTATGCCAAATGACATCGATATTTCATTCCAATAGGTGGGGACTATTTACAGGTGAGCCCTGTGCTCATACTTCTTAGAATAGAGATGCAACTACACACCTTCTGTTAACCATTAACAACTGTTCCACCACAATATTTCAGAGCATTCTGAATCAAAAAATGAGGGTAAAGATGGAACACACTTACCTTTTGTGTTTGCCCTTAAAATTTGTAAGCCAGAAAACTGAGGGTTTGGAATCAACGTTGGGTGGCATAAACAAGATGGTCTCTTCTTCCTCCTCATACTCTTTTAAGGAAAGATCAAGTCTGAACATATCCATCAAGGAGAAGAAGCTCAAAGGAATCTTGTATAGTTTTACGTTGCCATAGTTTTACTTCTATGGCAGATAAAATATTTTGAGTAATTCTAGTGGTTTGAGCTTGCAGTGGCCATGAGAGAATACTGAGATGCTCATTTGTACCTCACATGAGAGAAGGGTTTGTTCGAGTCACTCGCCCAACCATTTCCCAAAACTTCCGTGGCTCTTTTTCCGATGACCTAGGACTGCTTCTCTAAAGAAGATCAGGATGGAGGGAATCATTCCTTGTCCCTTAGACCAGGTGATTGGGTACCACAGTGTGACTGTCATTAAAACACACTCACATCCACACACACATAAACACAAGGTTTTATTGAATTAAAAGTTGGCAAAACTTTCAGCAGTGACACAACTTGTACCTGAGCATGGGAGATGCTCTGGGTTCATTGTGTTTTTAATTAACTAGGTAGTATTTTGTTAAGAAGCTAGAAATATAAGTATGCATGGTAAAAGCACTGGTTCTTTCCACATTCCCCTCATTCTATTCAGTCTTCCCAACAAGGGATGCTCCTGCAATCACAGCTCTGATTAGTTTTTCCTGGTGAGCACTGCAGAAAATAGTGGACCATAAACGATTAATCAAATCAGAATAGGTGCTAATCACTAACTCCTCTTTTGTCACTGTTCCTTTCTCTCTTAACAAAATTCATGCTCACTGGTTTATTCAATGGCAATCATTTTAAATTTGTTCATTGGGTTTCAGTGAGCAAAAAATAATAGTGTATATTGCTATGAATATATAAGATTTTTCTTGTGTTATGTTTTCAAATGCAGTTTGAGATGAGCTTTATGTGGTTTTTAATGGGTTTTCTTAATTTCCAGCTTTTCTTCCTTCTAATCTGTATAACAATATAATATTGATTTTCCTATATATTACTAAGGATTCTTTTGGTTGCAAATAATGGCTGGATCCCAACTGAGACTGGCTTAAGGAGGAAAAAAGGAATTTGTTGGCTCATGTAATTAGGATGTTCAAGCGTAAAACTGTCTTAAGGCATTGCTGGATCTTAAAACTCAAATTATATAATCGGGACACTGGCATTCCCTGTGTTACACTTCTGCTTTCTTTTAGGTTAGTTTTATTCTCAAACAGGTTTTTCCCATGATGACCACCCGCCTCTTCAAACTATTTACCAACACTAGGGGAAAGAGATTCTTTCTAGCAAAAATCTCGTGGCTGACTTTCACTGATCCAGACAGTGAGCTAAAGAATCCTTGTGGCCAGAAGTGGACTGTCCTGACTGGCCAGCCCTGCTCACATGTTCATCACTGGAGCTAGGGATTGAGGCAGGGGAGGGCTGGTTCCACTAAGGAAAACCAAGACGCTGTTCTCAGAGAGAGATAAAACAGATGGTCAACAGAAAATTATAGAAAATGTCCACTTTCTCCGAGAAACACCCTTGCTCCAGTGGGAGGTGGTATGATATGATGATTATGCAACTGTGTAAGGAAAAGCTTGAGCTTTGGAATTCACAGACCTGGATTCTATTCCCAGGTTGGCTAAGTGCTAGCTGTGTGACTTTGGCAAGTCAATTAACCTCTCTGACCTTCCACCTCTTCATCTATAGTGTGGAGATAAAGACTCAGAGTTTGGAGGAGGAGGAAAAGGACAATGTATGCCATTTATTAACACTTAATAGGAGGTAATTAATTAGGATAGAATGGTTTTTGCTACTTTTTTATTACAATATTGTACTCCGGGATGGTCTACATAGTACCTCCCAGTGTGAAAGTCACAAATTCCCACTCCTCATTTGCAAAACTAATGAACTACTTAGTTGACTCAGCAAGCATTTATAAAGAAAATACAATATGCCAGGCATTTTTCTAGGTACTGAGGATGTAACAGACAATGTCCTGTGCCCTCTTGAAGCTTATATTCTAGTGAGGGAGATACAGATCACCAATAAAGAAACAATTGCCTATATATGAGATATATATATATATATATATATATATATATATATATATATAGTAGGAAGAAGAAATAGAGCAGATAAAAAGGATAGACATTTTTAGAAAATGAGGTCTGAAATTTTAGGTGGTGAGAGAGACTTCTTGAGGAAGTGATATCTGAGCAGCATGGCTAAGGAAGTAAGGGATGATCTACAGGGTAGCATTTCAGGGAGAGGAGGCAGGTGAAAAGGCGCTGGGGTGACAGCCTGCTGTGATGGTCAAGGGAAGTGGCAAAACCAGTTAGCTAGTGGGCAGGGTGGGGGTGAGGCATGGCTATCGTTGAATTTGGAGAGGAGCTGGGGCCAGATCCTATAGTGTCTGGTTGGCCATGAATAGGAGTTTGGATTTTAAGTGTGACCGGAAGCCACTAGGATTTTATGCAGGCAAGAAATGATCGACTTACATTTTAAGATTACATTCTGGCTGACAGGGGCAGAGGAGGTGACAGTGGAGCAGGCAGGGCCCCAGCTGGTGGTCGCGGGTTGAGTGGCAGGATTCCAGAAGAAGAAGGCGGGGGCTTCCATCCAGGTGCTGGCTCCGGAGATGATGAGAAAGGTCAGGTGAAGGAATCATTTTCAAAGTAGAGAGAATGAGTTTGCTGATGGTTTGGTTGTAGGATGAGAAAAGGAAGTCTTTTGGTCTGAGTAACTGGGTAAATGGTGGGATCGTTTACTGAGATGGAGAGCTCTGGGGGAGGAGCGGGTTTCTGGACCGGGGGCGGGAAAGGAAGAGTTCAGTGTGACATGCTTTTTAATCATCCAACTCGAGATGTCAGGTGGGCAGTATGAGTCTGGGAACCGCCCAGGCTAAGGATAAAATTTTGTAAGTCTTCAGTGAATAGGCTGTATTTTAAGCCATGGAGTGGATATGATCACCTTAGGAATGATTTTAGACAGAGGAGGGAAGAGGATCGAGCCCTGTCATTTCAATAGTTAGAGCTTTGTACCTGCATATTCAAATAAAATATTATTCTAAATATAAAATGTAAACTAAATAGAAGACAGAAGTATTTTGCTTGAAGTCAGGGCTCGGAGACCACCTGGCAGATTCTTCCCCACACCTGCCCCAGCCCCAGAAATCCCCATGGGAGCTCATGTTAGACTTACAGGCTCTAAAAAACAAACATTGAAAAATGCCTCCTTTGTCCTTTCCAGATCTGGTGGTCTGCTATTCTCTTCCTGGCTGCCAGCCACATGGGTTTAGTCCACCCTGGCCAAGGCATCCAAGGGCCCAGGCTGAGTTCATGGTTGTGTTATGTAGATAAACAGATTAAGAGTTTCTTCTTGGTGAGATTCAATTAGAAAACCAGCAGACAGAACTATCAAACATCAGAGCTAGGAGTGAACCCAGAGATGATCTCTTCTAATTGCTTCCATTTACTGAGAAGTAGATGATTGGGCATAGAAGGATAGGGGACTTGTTTAAGGTAACCCTGGAAGAGACAGGTGGGGCCCTGCCCCTACATTCTCTGATTCATCAGGTTGTAGAACAAATGTGATGAAAAATATAGAAATTCTTCTGCAAAAATGAAACTGCACCGTGAGAGAGTTGATTTGGTTGAGATCAGTGAGTACACATCCATTAAGAGTGTAAGGTCCTCTGAACGTCTGTGCTAGAGGAACCTTTGGTTTGAAGGTTAACTCCACTTCGATTAGGAGTTCTTAGCCTGGGGTTCCTGGACGGACCTGGGGTTCCAGGATTCCTGGGTTCAAGGAACCACAGGCTCCCTAGAAAGTGGGTGTGTGTAGGTTTTTTTTCCTTCTGGGAAGAGTTCTCCAAAGTTACTATATTCTCGAAGGGATCTATGATTACCCACCCTCAAAATGGTTTTAAAAAAAGAAATTTGAAAATTCTCATAGGAAGCACAATGACCGACCATTTTAGACAATGTACTATTTTAATCATAAGAATGTAGTTATGTATTTTCACCGGCTGGTGTCCTAATGCAGATCACAGAAACAAGCTGTGTTTCCGGGACGAACAAAAAATAACAAAGAAACGGAGTAACATAGAGCAAAAACAAATGCCCATATGTTTTAATCACTAGGAAATAGGCAGCATGCAAAGAAACCTTTGTAGCTTTTTGCTATAGTATTGTTTACCAAATATTTCTACAAAACAAGTCTTAATACATAGGAAACAATGATCATTTGGCATTTTTTCCCCTTTAACAATGACTCTTATTTTCCTATGTTGTTTTCCTGTCTAATATCCTTTTTATTGTCCCATCATAGGACCCTGTGGGCACTGAGATCCAGCTCACCCATGCCTATTTCCTGTAATGGACAAACTTGATGCTAATGTGAGGTATGTCACACTTCTGTACGTACTGTGCTCCAAACTGTGGACATTCGTGCTACGAAGGCTCTGAAAAATCTGTTGTTGTAGAGTTACAAAGCTAATGGATATAGATTTTCTTTGATGTTTCATATATAATCACGAGTGTTGTGTTGTTCGACTATTAGCATTTTAGCATTTCTGTTTAAATGATTAATGTAATATGGCTGTCAGTGTTTCCAGCTGCCTATACTAAGAGTCTGCATTACGGAGATGCTGTTTGAAAATAGATACTCATCTCTGTAACAGGAAGAAAGAGGTACTTACATAGGGGTAAAAATAGAACATTAAGAATATCTATCTGTACATCTAAGCTTCAGATATAAATTCAGGCAGTTTTTAATAGCAGATTCTAGTTTGTCCACTTCTGTGTGCAACCAGGTCAATAGATTATGGGACATGATAGGTTGCATGGTATAGTTGCATAAAGCTAAATGATTTTTGGTTTGGTTTTGTTTTCCTGTAATTTTCTGCAAACCTTGGAGATGAAATAATAGGATGACTCCTACAGAAGTTTTTTTTCTTAAAGAGTTACTTCATTTTATTTGACACAACCATATAGTGCAGAAAAAAATTTGTATTCAGTAATGAATTGGCATTTGAGGCTGAGGATTAACCCTAGACATCAGTAGCTGGAAGACATCCTAAAAAATGCCTTCCTGGTGTAATCACAGGAGCTGTTTTCCTTTCACTTGGGACCTGTAGAAAAGTATGTTTCAGGTATAGATTAGGGGCCGGGTGCCTCTGGATTTGATGTAGTAGAAAGCTGTGACAAAAGAGAGCTGTCAAATACCTTGACAGAAACTCTAGTGCAATATGACTTGAATTGCAAAGATGTACTATCACCCAGCCAAGGGAATTCCTTAAGTGTAGATTGTGTCTCATGATGCCTCGTATAATCCCTGCGCAGTGGGTATTAAAGAGTTGTTGATCAGCTTGTAGTTGCTGTTCTATCTATCTATCTATCTATCTATCTATCTGTCTGTCTGTCTGTCTGTCTATCTATCTATCTATCATCTATCTATCTATCTATCTATCTATCTATCTATCTATCTGTCTGTCTATCTATCTATCTATCTCAAATCGTGTTGTGTTCTAGAGCGTCAGTCCCCAACCCAGCAGGAGGTGAGCAGCAGGTGAGTGAGCGAAGCTTCATCAGTATTTGCAGCTGCTCCCCATCACTCGCATCACAGCATAAGCTCCGCCTCCTGTCAGATGAGCAGTGGCATCAGATTCTCTTAGGAGCATGGACCCTACTGTGAACTGCACATGCCAGGGATCTAGGTTGCACACTCCTTATGAGGCTCTAATGCCTGATGATCTGAGGTGGGGCTGAGGCGGTGATGCTAGTGCTGAGAGTGGCTGCACATACGGATTATCCTTAGCGGAGAGGTTTGGCTGCACAATAAATGCAATGCACTTGAATCATCCTGAAACCACCCCCGCCCCACCTTCTCAGTCCGTGGAAAAATTGTCTTCCGTGAAACTGGTCCCTGGCGCCAAAAAGCTTGGGGGCTGCTGTTCTAGTGGATCTAGATATACAAAAAGACTCTGTACTTTGCCATAAAGCATTTTACACTCTCAAAGGAAATCTTGTGGACTTCATTATTTATTGGACACACTGACTTGCTACAGAGTCTCAGGACCTTAATAGAGCTTTTTAGGCTGGTGCTGTGTATTTCATTTTTCTCTAAAAGTTTGTGAAATTGTTTGCCCGGAGAAAGCACAGTGAGATCCAGAGAATCTCCATTTTATTGTTGTTAATTAATAAGGCCAGGATGAGCAATACCAATGGTGACAGATCATGAAATTGTTTTAAATTTCAGACACTGTCTCAAACTGGATCAGTTGGTTAAAATGGACTTTTGGGGGCATAATTCAGATATTATGATCCCTAACATTTCTGGCTTTTAAACGTTTATTTATAGCAGCATTAGATTCTAATGGAAGAATGTAATTCAGTTAACTGGACATTAGCCGTTCTCCCGGGTGCTGCGGGGCAGTGTGGGGTAGGAGATGATATCACGCCCCCGAATCTTGTCTCTGGACCATCTCCTCTGTCAGTTTTCTAACCAGATCCCATCCAACATGTGCTCCTCCTCACCCCCGCCCCCGTCTACCCACAGTGTTAATAACAGACAAATGTCACAGACTTTCCACTCATTTCCTCTCAGTATAGCCTCTGAGTGTCCATCGTGAAGGACGTTTTTAGGCTCACATTTACCAAATTGTGATGCAGACAGCGTTAGTAATACATAATGAATTTAGGTAGCATATAAACAACTTTTTTATTTTAAAGTTAAATATTTAAGGGTGCCTTCTTATCATGACAAGTTAATACTATTTTGCTATTAGAGTAGTGACATAAAATTTCCTTTTAAAGTAAATTTATTTAAAATGTAAAAGTAAGTTTATTTAGAGAAAAACATTATGTATTTTTTTTTATATTCATTATATGAAAGTGAAAAAAACAATCGCAGGGGTACTATGCAAATGACTAGGGTCTAGAAACCGATGTTCTAGGTGTAACTGGACACATTTTATCATCTTAAGAGCAGGGACCAGGAATTCTTCTTTGGTAAGGAGATGTCTTCCCTTGGAAAAGTGCCTATATAAGGTGAGAGACAAAGAGCCTGGGTCCCTGGCCCAGGGGAGGAATCCTTTTACTTGCTCTGAAGATAGAGGAAAATGAACAGAAGAGAGAGAAGCTTGGAGAAAAGAGAAGATTCAGAGAAGAAGGAGAGTCTGGGCTCTGCTTGGGAAGGGGAAGAATATCCAGTGGAAGGGTTGTTTAAGGAACTTTGAGAGCAGTTAGGTGAATTTCTTTTCTTTTCTTTTCTTTTCTTTTCTTTTCTTTTCTTTTCTTTTCTTTCTTTTCTTTTCTTTCTTTTCTTTCCTCTCTTCTCTTCTCTTCTCTTCTCTTCTCTTCTCTTCTCTTCTCTTCTCTTCTCTTCTCTTCTCTTCTCTTTTCTTTTTTTTTTTAAATGTAGGTGTGGTGACCTCTCTGAGGACCCAGGCCTTCAGGGAAATTTCCTAGCTTGGCTTATGACTTGGGTATTGAATGTTTCCTATGTTGAGTGTGTGAGGTCATCATGAGCTATGAACTTGACTTGTATTATCCCCTTTAATTTTTAAAATGATCCTATGAGGCACATACCATCATTGGGCCCATTTTACAGTGTGTGGTAACTAAGACACAAAGAGGTTAAATAACTTGCTCAAGGTCATATGACTACACTGCCTCATCTTATACAATAAATATTTTATGTCAATATGTATGTGCCTGTGTGTGTTTGTTTGTGTGTGCGTTTCTAAATCGATGACACGACTGACATTCCTCTCTTGGTAAATGGGGTTTGGAAGAGAGAGTGCATGTGTGGAAAGGGACACCCAAAAGAAACCGGTTGTCAGGAGATGATAAATGCCTGGGGAAATTTTAGAGATCTGAGAGAAGGCTTTAGACTTCCACAGGCTGTAGAATTGAGGAGTTCCAGTCAACTTTTCCCAGATATCAAGAGATAGAGAAGTCCTCAATGACATTTATGGTTAAACAAAATGTTTAACATTTAAGTATTTTGTCAGGTCATAGAGACCATTTTTTATTCATTTGGCTTCATTTAATTGAGTTTGCTAATTCAGCTTAGACCTTGCCATTATGTATCTGTCACCATTCTTGGCTAGAAGAATCAGAAACTAACTTTGGCTAAAGTAACCAAAGGTCATTTGGGGCAGGTAGCATGTAGCTCAAAGAATTAAGGTGAAAAATGCTGGAGGACTAGGTTTGGAATATAAATGAGAACTTCGGGAATTCCAGGTGACTTAGGAAGAGGAACAACGGCCAACCACGGGGAGAAGTGGTCAGTGCATGGCCCTCATTTATTTACTATATATTAATTAAGCACCAAACTTTGTGTCAAGAAGAGTAAGACAAGTTCCTGGTCTTAAGGATCTCATGGTCTAACTGGAAGATAATCCTGCAAATAGATAATTTAATACAGTGATGAAAGAATCCTAATAGTGAGATAGACAATGAGCTACATTCTTTGTGAACACTAAGGTGAGACTGAAGAAAAGAAACACCAGGTCTTGATTTTAGAAATGTGAGAAGCATTGCAAGCATTTTCCTCTTAAGTGCTTCCACTGCAGAGAAAGCAGTCGATGTAGGGTGGATTGACTCAGGATGAAAAGCTGGCAATGAACAAGGCCTTTGTTGAAGTAAGTTTCCGAGGAGTCCTGTCCTTTGGTAAATAGTGTCTCACAAATTTAGCAGTCAGCAGGCAGCTCTTCCCAAACAATCTGACACCTACCTGATTGGATTTTTTTGGTCTGTTGGCTCCTTGCTGGGGCTCCAGAGGAGACAGCTGCATTCTTTTTGAAGGGCTGGAGAAAGAAAAATGCAAACAGTGGCTTTGGCGATTTTGCAGTGGATATTCTTCGTGGAGTGTCATCAACTTGCATCTGGGGACTGAGCCCATGAAGCCACTGAATTCAGCCCCAAAACACTGCCTGACTTCAAGGATTGCAATACTTTTTGCTTTATTTGTTTTAACTACCAAATTCTTCCCATGGCCATGTGGTTTTCCTCAGCCCAGGTTTCCTTCCTTTTTTTTTTTTTTCTTGCAGATTATTACAATTAAAAAGTTTCTGCTTTCTAAGAATTTTTTTCTATCAGTTTCTAGTTATAGACAGTACAGGGTTCAGGCAAGCAATGAATAGGGGGAAGAAAGTCCATGTCTGTGTATATGAACTTGCACTTTGAGGTTTCTCAAGATAATGGCCCTAGACTTTGAGCAGAGAAAAAGTTTATTTTATATCTTTATTCCTTTTAATTCTAGCTTTCTGCCCTCTTTGACTCACTCGCTTGACCCATGGGCTCTCTACACTTTCCTGCTTCCCTGCCCTGGAGTCTCTGGGGCTTCTTCCTTTCATCAGAACACCCCCTTTTAAGATTCTGTTTCTCCTCTACAAAA